GGGAGGGGGGGGGTTTTGGGGGGGGGGGGGGGGGGGGGGGTTTTGGGGGGGGGGGGGGGGTGAGAACACAAGCGTGATGGGGTAAAAACAAAGGATCGCGTGAATAAAGCACTGACGGCTATTGGTAGGAGGGCTTCCTCGCGACGGGCGGGAGGACAATGACACGTCGGGGATCTCGGATGGCCCTGACGGGGCACCCACTTCTCCTCCGGCCGCGGCGCCCCGGAGAAAGTCCACCTGTAGTTTATATATATATACACCGGCGCCAGGAGCGACGCACGCACTCCTCTTGACGAGAGCGCGCGTTGTTCTGAGTGCGCGCTGGCACCTCCTCGCGCACGTCCACTCGACTCACCGACCCACCTCCATCAGCATGTTCGGCAACCTCGGGCTCGCGGCAGCGACGGCGGCGGCGATGGCCGTCCTCTGCCTCCTCCAGCCATCCCTGGCCAAACTGCGTGAGTGCCCTTTTAACATTATTCGCCTTGACGGGCTCGTCGGGCTTCCAGGACACGCGTGTCAAGCTAATTGCCAAATTTTGGAAAATTTTGCTTACTACGGGTGAGGAGAGCAGGGAAGAGAGAGAGAGAGAGAGAGAGAGAGAGAGAGAGAGAGAGAGAGAGAGAGAGAGGGAGATAGAGATTACACGAACGGCCGCGTCGCAGAGATTGATAGGTTCGAAAAGTTGGGAAAAGGACTATTATTCCTTGTGGCAGTGAGTGGGCGATCGCTCGAGCAGCTAATAAAGCAAATTTATTTTCCCTGGCGGTTGAGCAGGGCTAAAGATTTCACTTTTGCCGAGCGGCCAATGAGACGGTTCCCAATTAGCGCGCGGCTTTTAATTTGCATTTGCTTTCTACGGAGAGGCCCGCGAGTCAGCCGCGAGTGTGTGATTCGTAAAAGTTCGATTATCGAAAGACCGACAGCAGTAAGAACGGCTGTGTCAATCACACGACTAAAGAAAATGGCACGCTTGCATGGACACGCGACCTGTTCACTTTCTATCGAGCGTTCTAAACGCACTTTCCATTTCCTTGATCGGCTTTCATGAACGAGGCGTGAGTTTTCCGGGCTCTCGGCTTCGAATCTCAGCCACGCGAATCTTCCCATCCGACCCGGACACACGAAGGATTCCATTTCCTTTATGCGTAGAACGCGTACGCGTGTCATTTGTCATTTATGCGCTTCGTAAATGGCATTTCGTGACGAAAAATGGCACTTCGCCGAGAACATTTGTTCGAACAGAGGAGATCTAAGGCTCGATAAAGCACGACTCTCGGCTACGTCAACCAACATTCGTCCATTTAATTAATTGACGCGAAACCAGTCATCGAGTTATTCGACAAAGAGATAAAGAGCATTAGAGATAAAGACCTCGCTCTACTCGTATTCACACTCGATAATTCAACGTCCTAACGGATTTTTTAAAATTTGCATTTAACACCATTTAAGGCCGCGATAATGCCGAGCCTCGCTAATCCATTATATTATAATAACGAAACGTTAAAAAATGTACGAATACCTCGGTGTTTGAGAATTTTCCGCTCCTCTGACTTTTCATTACGTCCCGTTATTCTCAAATAAGACTCGTAAAAATGCAATAAAATAAAAAACATATCTTGAGCGACGATAGCGTATTATAAATACATAAGTCATCATAATTTTCAATGTCTTTAGTCATTATTAATCGTTATTATATAAAGGCTCTCGGTGCACCTAACCAAGCCCTGTTAATAGCCTTTAGAAATTCGAAACGTGACGCATGAAATAAACAAATCCACTTTCATCTTTGTAAATCCATTCGATTTATCATAAGTTACACCGCGACGCGACTCACGCGCCACAACGTCATTGGCTGGGAAAACGACTGGAATCCATGGAGAGGCGAGCTGCGAATCACGCACCCACACACACGCACGCCCAACATCGCTCTCGTCTAATGATGGATAATACGATTTATTACAGCGCCGGGCGTTACCGTCTGTCCGCGCTCTGACTCGCCCATCCAGTACAACAAATGCATCCTCCAGCAACTCCAGGCCATCACGCCCTTCCTGGCCAAAGGTATACCGGCCATACGACTGCCGGCCCTCGATCCCCTACAGCTTCCCTCTCTCACCGTCGATCGTAACCTCGAGGCCCTCAAAATCAAAGCCAACATGAGCAACATTCAAGTTTTCGGGGGTTCTAACTACCTCGTCGACGACCTCAACGCCGACCCCAACGACCTCACCGTCTACATCAAAGTCCAGATCCCCTACGTGCACGTCAGGGGAAACTACGACGTCCAAGGCCGACTACTTTTACTCCCGCTCAGCGGCGTCGGCAATTTTAAGGGAAACTTCAGTGAGTATGCTTTTCACGCGTCGCTCCGACTTGTCGCGCGAATAAATCAATCCGATTAAATACCTTGGAGGAATGTCGCCCGAGGAAATGATTATTCAAATTAGTAGTTCACGTGTATCGGGAACGAGATTTTGCAATTACGTGCATTTGGCAGTACGCGCATGCCACTGTCGAAGAAAAAAAAAAATCTCCCCCCCCCCCCCCATCCACTCCCCCTCTGGCCATTATGCACAGGCACGGTTTGGAAAAGCGTTTTTTCATCGCCTTTTTTTCTTCTTTCCTTATCACGTCGACGAATCAAAGTATCACTAGGATATGGAGTTTGAGGGAAAGTATGGATCTCGGTTAAATAACATCGTGGCTCTCTGCTCTTTGCGCGTGTTAGTCCGCTTGATTCGTTAGCATCGTATTTCATCGGTTTTGCATCATTATTTTGCACGCATCGCTCGCTTATCCACGAGTCAAAGAAGATTTGTTTCTATTCTGTTCCTCGTGCGCATCGATCCACATACGTTTAACGAATATTGCCGTTAACTAAGCGGTAAATTGTCGGGGAATTTCATTATTGCACAATTTTTCATAAAATACGTTCGATATACTTTACATAATGTTGTTGAGGATATTATTGCTTAATAATACGAACAAACATGCAAATATCCGAAGCGAAGGGAATATATCGTAAAAATATAGTTCCACCGCAGCAACGAAGCTTTACTCAATAATAATAGTAAAAATAACAATAATTACAATAATTACAATGACGACATTAATAATAATAATAATAATAATAATAATAATAATAATAATAATAATAATAATATTAAATATCGTTATTAACGACGAAATCATCTCGTTGACCACATAATTTTATAATTTTTTAACCACTAATCGATAATAATTAACTTGAATCGTTAATAATAATTAAATTTATGATTATTAAGAGATACAAGTTTGTTTTGCAAACTCGTAATCTATTGTTATAGCCATCCCCATATCTAGTCATAAAAAACTTGAAAGTGAATTTTAACATTTGCGTATAATCAGCTTCGCTTCACTCGCACTTTGTACGAAGATTATTTTGTCGTAGTGGCCGAGTGCTGAGCACAATGATTAATTAATTGATTGTCCCTTTAGCGAATACGGAGGTCCGAGTGAACGCCCGAGGGAAAGAAGTCGCCGATAATAATGGCGTGAAGCGTATCGAAATCGATAAGCTCCAGACGAAAATTCGCGTCGGCGATGGGAATATAAAACTGAAAGCGCCTCGCAGTCATACATTGACGGGTGAGTTAAAAAACGCTGACAAAGCGAAAATTTCTATAAAATCAAACAAATGCGTCAATGAGCCAATGAGTCTCTTTGGCTCTTGTGAAAAAATCATTGCGATTTAGCCTTGGACGAATGCAAAAATGTCCACCGAATATCATTATTGCATAATAATAATGACCACAAGCATACGGTAAATCAGACGAGTAATGTTATTTCTCAGATTTCATTGGCATTCGATTCATTGAATATATTTTTAAAAACTTATCATCTGCTTAACGTGCGTTTTCACCTCCTATCGACTTTTCCATACATCATCATCATCATCATCATCATCATTATAATAATAATTATTATTATTATTATCATTCACCTACCTGCCATAATAATCAGCCTCGGATAATAATAAGAACTTTTTTATTTTTCCCAACACTTTACGATTTTATATTTTCAGCCGAGGCAGCAGCCACTTTCTTCAACGCGAATCCTAGGCTCGTTCTGGACATTGCAAGTCCCATTATCGAAGACACAGCTACGACAATTAGCAAAGCGCTCACAGCGAGAGCTCTAAGTGCTTTCACCAAAGACGAATTAGTACCGAAGTAGTTCAGCCACGTTTCAGTTTTCTTTTGTTACCATCTCTCTTTCTTATTCAACTGTTATTATTATTTTTCTTTTCTTTCATTCTTTCTTACGTTTTTTTTTTTTTTGTTTTTTTTTTTTGTTTTTCTTTTTGCCTTCCTCGAAGAAGATAATTGCGCTTACTTTACGGAGACGAGAGCGCAATGTTTGCCGAGATAAACAATAATGCCTGGTGATAAGAGATAAAACTTATTTATTAATATTAAATAGTAATTATAGGTGATTATGGTTTGTAAAAGGGGCTTGCGAGCACTATTTTATCGTGCTTAACAAATTCTGATGCGTGAAATTTTATTCATATATTTTTCCTCTTTTTATTACCATTACATATCGATTTTTTTTAGCTGTTCTGTGTCCGCTTCTTATGTGTTACCATAAATGTGATTTTATACGGAAACTCCTTTAACGGTAAAGAAAATTTTATACTGATATATACGAACGAGCGGCAGGATTTTTCTAATGTAAAAATATCGATAAAAATAAAAAATAAAAGGAATAGCAGCTCGAGCACTGAACGACATACTCAATAAATGTGATTTAACAGATTTACACTCGACATATGTTTTACTCGCAGCTCAAGTTACCAAGTTACCCCCTCAATGCTAAAAAATGTTTATACGTAATGTCATAGAGGCAGTGCGGCCGGGTAGCAAAGTTCCGTCGACACGTGAAAACTGTATTAAAAAAAAAACAAAAAAAAAACAACAACAACAACAGCAAAAAAAAGTTTGTTGATTTGGTCGTCTTTTTTTAATCCTTCGGGAACAGTTCGTCGTACGTGAACGATTCCGTGATTTTATTGGCGACGTTCGTAAAGAGATCTGAGAGTGACGTTTCCAAAACTGGTCTCAGCTCATCTAGGAAGATCCCACTGTTGGCATTCAGTACTTCGTTGCTAGCAGGACCTAAAACAGGATGAAGAAAATTGTTGTAAATAGATAAAAAAAAGAATCGAATGCCAAGATTCGATTGAAGCTATCGCCAATAATATCTTAACAAACTTATTCTAAATCATGATTAATTTATATGTAGGAAACTTCCTCAATTTCAATCTCATACAATAATTGACAATTATATTCATAAATAATTTCATTATTTAATATTGACATTCTCGATATAGTTTCAATAAACGAAATCTAGCTTAATCGTATCATTTCCTTTGGATTTTTATTTTCTTTTCTTGATTCTTTTGTTTTCTTTTTTTTTTTTTTTTTTTTTTTTTTTTTTTTCTTTTTTATTATTCTATCTACTATAGAGAGAAAGAGAAAATTATTATTGGATTCGCTTATTCATAATTCACGATCGAAGATTTCTTTCAAATTATTCGTTACTCAGTCTTTAAAATTACAAATAAAAGCTAAACATTTTTTAGTCTTTTGCAAAAAGATAAAAAACAAAGCAACACAACAATGTATCTATGACATCATATTTTATATTATCATACTTATATCCTTGCTTTAATGACCAGTTATCGACATATAATTATTATTATGGTTTCATTAACTGATTCCTAAATGTCAGAGTATCAATTCAACTATTATTTACTATTATTTTTAAAAGATTATTTTGATTTTTGTTCAAATTAGCCGTTATTACGGGTAAATAAACCGAAAGCTTATAAATGGATGTTAAAATACTTTTAATGCGTTCGATGCTCGCGTGAAAGAAATGGAGACGTCATCGAATTACAATTTACATTACCGTTAAAATATTTCAAAATGCTCGATATAACGTTAAAATCGTTATTATTATTTATTGTTTAGCTGAAATTTCGGCCTTTTAGTTTAAAACACTGGGGGGGTGGGGGGGGCTCCACCGACTTTCCATTGTTTCCTGCTCATTTTTCACGTTGCGCCAAGAAGTTTGGAATAAAACTTAAACATTTTGAAGCTAAATTATGATAACAATAAGAAAGACAGAGCAATAGCATTAAAGCCTAGACCTCGATCATCAAATTGCATCATCGAGACTTCGTGACTTGAGTCTTGAGCGAATTCCATAGGAATTATTCAAATGCATTGTTGCCACGTAATGAAACCACCTTCTTATCGACTTTAATAGATACCATCAACTATTCAATTATTTGTGCCACTTACTAATAATAAGAATACTGCGTACATTAAAAGCATAATTATCTTACTAGCAGTCGATAAATATTATCTACTATTTGCCATTGAGCGTTACCATTAGGCTTAGGCTTAGGCTTCGCTTCACCAATTTCACATAAAAATTCATGTAATTCTAGCTCAATTATTTTAATACATGCGAACATATTAAATTCGACGTTACTTTGAATAAAAGGTATTTTTCTTCTTCTTCTTTTTTTTTCTTTTTTTTTTTTTTTTAATTATAAATAATCGCGATAGACAATATATGTGTCAAAGTAAATATTATACGAGTATGATCGGTCTCGTTTAAATACGTGACATGCGAGTGACACACATATCGCATCACATATATTAAGTGATCTAAAATTCATGATAGAAGAATTGTTAAATTATAAAAACTATTAAACTTATCAATGAGCGAGGAACGTAATAATATTTGTTTATTTACCGAGGATTGGATCTCCACCAAAAAGATTGCTAAGATAGACCTTGGCCGCGCCAATCGTAATGGTCAACTTCATTTTCTCAAAGTTTAAATAAACATCGTTATTTTTGTAGATCTTTCGGGCGTGTAATATTACATCTGACTCGTAGCCAGCTGAAACATAAATTTAATACATAAACATTCACTTTAAAGCCCATACTCTCACTGTAATTATTGCTACTTCCCGGAAATCTTCCTCGTTATCAAATTTTTCCCGTACATCTAATTGCAAAAGTAATTGCTTCGGTATTATTGTATAAACGTGACTAATTTTTCCATGTACATAGAATCCTTTACAAAGTCCATTACTTTTTACAGATAAATTTAATATAATCGCATCCTTTACGTGAATATATCGCGATCGAAGAATGCAATGCTTAACAGGCAGAATGTATGTTATATCTTCGCGGTCGAGTGCGTTTTTAATAAAATTACCACAATAAAATACGTAAATGTCAAAATTGCTTAGTCAACGAAAATCGAGAATACGTGAGAGTTATTGTAGAAAGTAGGTATATGATAGCTCACTAAAATTGCCAGTGAGATCTCCACTTCCGGCAAGCCTTAGAAGCAGTAGCCTTGCATCGATCGAGTACTTTCCCTTGAACTGCAACTTATTGAAGCCGACTTTAAATGTGAATGTGACGTCGTCGACATCCACTTTTAGGTCTCGTATTTTGAATGTCGATGGGCCAAAAACCTGTGGATGAAATATGTATTAAATTATTCGCATGGTCTTTTCGTGCCAGCGATCCGATCCAATGATCGAACGTTCCAATGCCAACAAATTCACTACTTCGCAGTGCAATAGACATTTAATTCGATCTACATTTCTTCAATCTCTCCTCACTCTCCTATCTAAATAAAATTATACATTCAAATTGTCAAATACTATTTTCACATTTATCATGCCAATGAACGAAGAGCTAAGATGGTCCGCGAACGATATGTTGTACTTTATTAAGCTTTATTTATTTTATTATTCTTACCAAATTTATCCTCTCATACTAATGTATTAATTATAATAAATTCATCAATCATCAATCTGTCAACAAGATGAATTAAATGTAGTCATAAGTTGCATTAAATTGATTCCTCCAAATGTCTCGCAACCTTATTGGATCATAAAAAGAAACTTGTAGCTTAAAATGATGCTTGAAAAATGAAAAGGTAAGCTTGGTCCAAGAGTATTTTCGCATAAAATATATTACCATTGTACTATATCCACTGTACTTGTATAAATGCTGCAATTTTTATTACGTGAACATATATTTTACGATTGAGTAAATATTATACATAAAATGCATAAATTATATTTCACATGCAGTTCTATATATTTCATTCATCTTTTTTTTTTTTTTTTAATATAATAAAATACGTGGGATTTGATATTTTATTATCTAAATTCTTGCCAAGAGAATCACACTTTTGCCACAAATGTTAAATAGCAAGTGATAAGTAATGAGGAAAGCGAGAATAAATAAGAAAACAAATTAAGAAATCGGTTTAATAGAAACTCTGAAATTATAAAAATATGAAAATATGAAAATATGAAATTCACACGGAAAGTAGCAAATTCTATTTGCGACAGTATACCACTCGAGTGTCTTTTCTTCCTTTTTTGTTTCGCAATTGCCAATTTAAATGACGTCTTTCAGGACAATTTTATTACAACATAAATTTCAATCAATAGCAAATTTCAAACGAGGAATAAAATTGGGTGTAAGTTTATTGATTGAATTAACATGCAATCACCTAATGATTCGTTAATGAATATCATTTTATGCATTTCTCTCACATTCGGCATAATCCTTTAATATAATAATATTCACTGATATCGATTAAAAAAATATATATGTATGAAAAATAATAGTCAATCAAATAAAGTCAATCAAAAGTGCACGCCGCTGTAAATTAATGAATTTTCGAAAATTTATCATTGCGTTATGTATATACAGTCATGAAAAATCCATTAAAATAATTACTAGCAATAAAATGTAATTAACTCGTTTCCATAATTCTACATAATTTAACTAACATAATTCTATTATCGTTGTAATATGCTAAGTCAATTATTATCCTGTAATAATAATTCCTTTTAATATCCAAGGAATCCTCGATTGAAATGAATTCTTAATAGTATTTTAAATAGAATTAAATAGAATTATTCCCTTATTCGGCCACTATCCTTTCCTAATGCAAAAAAAAAAAAAAAAAAAAAAAAAAACTAGTTTTATAAATGATTTGATATCGATTCGAGTAATTGAGTTTTTTTTTTATCACAATTAAAATACGAGGAACAATATAAATTTCAAGTACAATAAATTCAAAGTATCCGCAAAAACTGACATTGCATAGTTGCATAGTAATATATACTTCCAATTTTAAATGCATAATGAATTTAACTGTGTCATCAATTATAATTAGCCTCATAAATAATTAATTAAATTCAAATAGTATCAATATCGTTTGCTAGGCGATGCGAGCCAGTGAATAGAGCCAAGTAATTATGAAAACTACACTCTTTTTAATATTCATGTGAGAATATTCTCTTTATTAAATTGGCACCTTACAAAAAAATTTCGATATTAATTGTGAAAGTGCCCAATTATGGTTTATAAATAATGTATGAAATCATGGTTAATAAAAAAAAAAAAAAAAACAATTCATCATTCTTATGATATGAATCTTATGCAAGATGCTCATTATTACGATGTTATTCGAAAATTTATTTTTCAAACAATAGGGAAATTATTGATCCAAATAAAGCATATTCACACAATATGTATAAAAGAATTAATTTGTATAAAAAGAGAAAACAAAAAAAAAAAAAAAAAAAATTAAATTTGTACAAATTATTATTGACATGATTTAGATGTAGAATATTCTTTTAAAAAGTTAAATGGATTTTTAATTAGAGGAAAAGTTATACGTTATATCAAATCATCTAGTCATAAAAAAATTTAAACTACTTTAATTTATTTCAAACAATATATATCTGAGCTCTGTTATTATTATTATAATCGAACATTGTAACACAATTATACTAAAGTCTAGATAATTCATACAAAATAATATTATAATAATCATAATAATAGCAATACTAATTTTTTATGAAAACCTACCAAAGTCTTTTTATTCATTCATTTTATTAAATCAATGAAAAGCAGTTAATTTTAAAACAATGGGCGCTAGAATGTTGTTAATTGTTAGCAAATTATCTGCAATGAATATTTTTTTTTTTATTGAGTCCAAGTAGATGAAAATACTAGATAAATATTCGAACGAAATAAATAAATAAAAAAAAAAAGAGGAAAAAAAACTTTCATTACATTGCACTACTAAACTCAATTAAATGCCGAATATATCTTATATTTTATAATAAAATAATAATTCCAATTCGCAGTTCTCAAATATTTCACGTAGTCTGGTTTAATAAAAAGTTCTTTTAAAAATTAGTAGCTTTTTAGTGACGTCATGTTAAGCATCCTCGACTATAAGTAAAAAATTTTTGTATAAACTCACTGTCTATCTTTGCTATCGAGCACATTGTTTTCAATTTTATTGCAAATTAAAAAATAAAAATAAAAAAGCAATCAAAACGAACAATCAATAAACGCAAATTACTCGAATGTTCCAGATATTTTTTTCCCTTAATTTAACAGGAACATTTTTTTTTTTTTTTCATTTTATTTATTTTTTGTTTGCCTCGATGCCTACTCTGACAACTCTTTATTCATACATTTGATGTCCGCTGATGATATTCGCATTCGTTCTTACTTCGGCTCCACCACTTTCGCACAACTTTCGTGCTCGACGAAAGTCCGCGCTTTGCAAACAAGGGGAGACGCTATTTGCTAGAAAGAGGATCTCCGCAATTTGTCGAGTGCGAATATTTTTTTTGAGATCCAACTCAGCCATCCCCGTCACAACTCATTCATAATGATTCGCTATTTCGCTATTTCGCTATTTCGCTACTTTGCCAACGTCATTAACTAACTTCAAAGTTCTACCACATTCTACCTTGTATCTAGATATCCTCTTGGCTCGGTAGTATGTAATCAGATCTCTTTATACGTATATAGGAATGTCTTTGCATACGTTAAATAATGTAATCCCATTCATTTCTAGGCCAATCGTGCAAAAATTATTTATTGCAGATTACCCACCAGTATGCACGTGTTTGTATTATCTCATTATATAATAATCGAAGAAATGACGAAGGTAACAGAGCCGAAATTGACGTGAATTGCGTGAAATTCACAATGCATGGATGCTGATTCCCATCCTCTCTGGCCCCCCAACCAAGCGCGCGCGCGCACGCGTACTCCCATCCCTTAGAGCCAACATCGATTTAATATTGAACGTTTAGTATCTTGGAATATAACGTACTATGTAATTTATCTAATAATTTATCCTTAAATTCTATAATAATTAATCATGAGATTGTTATACGCTTGCTTTATAAACTTATCGTTTTATTAAATCATAATCGACGTAAATTTTCCAAGGAATTAGCGAGGAGTCTGTACTTTAGACAACACTTTATCGAAAAATTATTATTTTTACACTTTACAATTTGGTCTTTACACTTTGGTTATTATTATCGACTGTAAGACAAAGATACGCGGTAATGTTTAACATCGTAACATCTTGAAACATTAGTCTGGTAAATGATAGGCATGACAAATTGAATTTAAAAATCAAAATTATTTAACTTCTGTGTTTCTTTTTTTTTTTTTTTTTTTTTTTTTTTTTTTTTTTTTTTTTGTCATAGCTAAAAGAAATCCTACATCAAAGACGAAGCGTGCACATTAACAAAATATAAATATTGCTTTACGATATCGTAGAGCATAATGCTAGACAATTTTATCAATAATGTAGTTAGAATAGCATAGAATTAGCCTTACTTTCTAACGAATTTCACAGCATTAGTCTTTTCCATTGGCAATAACGGCTGATAAAAGAATCAGAGAGAAGCCGACGAGCAGTCGCGAGTTAATTATGAATAATAGACTGATAAACGTTACCTGGAGCCCGGTGACGTTGATATCGAGGCGAGCGCCCGTTGGTCCACGTAAAAGTCGAATCTGGTTGAGGTTCAACGGCTCGATGGCCGGCGCCTCGAGTTCCGGGATGCCCTTGGCCAACTTGTCCCTCAGGTTCTCGATCGAGTTGGTAATGCAGGCGTTGATTTGCGGGTCGGACCTTTTGCACGGTTTAATGTACGGCGCTGCACGTAAAATTCATCCCTTGTTTATTCATTCATGATTGTCTTACGTAAACTGTCTTGCGTCTACGGGTGTGCTCGATTATTTATGAGCACGTGGACGAATAACGGCAAAGTAGCGTAGGGATGGGCGGATAGTTTCGGCTACGCGAGAATCGGCGAAAGCCGCGCACGAAAGGGTAAAAGCTGACGTTTAGTATGATAAAGATGAAAGATTGTTAAAGAAGCTGGAATTTGCGAGATTATTTGAGTCTCGAGCTCCTTTTTATTTTCCTTATTTTTCTCTTTTTTTGTGTGTGTGTTTTTTTTTGTTTTGTTTTGTTTTTTTCTTTAATAACAGAGAAAAACGTTACGCATTCGTCATTGTGAAAAAGCGGTCATTTTTACTTGCGACCAGGAGAATTTTACGGGAACTTTGATTGGAATGTAATTGGTATTTTTGTATCGCCGAGATTTTTAAATGACGTCAATAATATTTATGCAAATGCTGAATTATTGTGAATCGTGGTTAGGCCGAATGCCTACCTTAAAATGCCTTTTATCATAATTCACGTGAAATCAGCATTGCTCGAATGATCGGATGGCATATTTCGTAACTGCGAATGTAAAAAAAAAAAAAATGATATTGTAATGGGGCCGCGAAGGAAGAATATTTTGTATGTATTTCAATCTTTAAGCACCTTTAAGCATTAAACAATGGACCGATTTTTAATGAGTTCCTTAGCAGTCCCAGGAATACGCGAACATTTTATTCGTTTATTTAGTGCCAGATCGTTACGCCTTTATTCGTGCAGATCTCTTATATAATATGACAATTGATGATATTATACGATTTAATTCTAATAATGTAATGGCGAGTAGAAAAATGTCCGTAAGCACGGGTTAGTAAGGAAAGCAATGGCCGAGGTCCAAAGCTAGGCGATCGAGGACTGATGGGCGAAGGAAGAAGAAGGCTTAGAGGAGGCTTATCGGGGTACTCACGTAACTCTCCAAGAGCTGAACCCATCATCGCCGCCACTAGGCTGCAACCAAGCAGAGAATACCAAATGATAAAATAACGAGTCGTTGAGTTGTGGGATCGAGCGATTACGCATTATCGAATTTCCGTAATTATTGTCTATCGATCGAGTACAGACATTTAATGTTTGCTCGGCTGGCTGGGATTTTAGTACCTTCAGCCACGCGGACTCGTCTCAGCTTTTACAATTATATTACGCGGTAACCGAGGTATTGGCATTTGCGATTAAGAGTACGTATTTCGTGACAAGAGAGGAGGAGAAAAGGGAAAAATGGAATTTGAGTGCACTCTGTTACGAATGGAGAAATTATAAATTTTATGAAAATGTCGAGATTCTCGTAGTACAAAATGCAAATCTTGTTGAAACATTAATTGCGCCTTTGAGTGATCTAAATTTCATAATGCAAAGCGAGTAATTGGAGCCTATTAGTATTTCAAGATATGCTATTAAATTTAAATGCCTTGTGTACATAGAAATTAAATCAGTCTTTAAGAATTTTTTTTTTCCTTTTGAAATGCAACTCACTTTAGTGACACGACACAACTTTTAACCGATGCTCCTTCTTTAACTGCCAAGTACTCTCTTCTCCCTAAGATCTCCATATAATTGCGAAATTTTTAAAATCCTAGGACTTTGCTAAATTCTTTAAGTAGATATATCATTAGATTGGAGATTATTGGAATCGATATATTGTAAAATCGTCAATCGTTAATATTGACACGAAACTAAAAGTAAACATTAAACAAATGGCCCTGTTATACTTACAAAAATATTAAACAAACCATATTTTTCTTCTTTGCCTAAAAGTTCTGGGACAACTATTATAATTTTAATAATCAATAAATAGTGAGAGGGGACAAAAGTGTCATGACAAGAATCCATTTATCGCTTGATAAAGATTAAAGATCTTCTTTTCTTTGAGATAGTAATACTTGAAAATCGTTTCTAAAGTATTTTAGGCAAAAAATATTAAAACAAAAAAACAAATTATGATAACATATGGAAAGTACGTTGCTATTAAAAAAAAACATGTCGTTTCAGCTTCCTATCCGATATTAATAATAATAATAATAATAATAATAATAATAATAATAATAATAATAATCATAATAATAATGATAACAACAATGATGAATTATATTAATGTGAAACTTTGAAAATAATCTACAAATTGTATCAAAGACGTATGATAAAATTTAAAATTTCATAAACTTCTACCTCATAAATTTACGTCTATATAAACTAGTTATTAATTATATCTTTCAAGAACTATTTACATATATTCTTTCGATACTCTACTGTAAAACGAGAGAAAAATAAACCTTAATTTATTATCTCGTTATAAACTTAGTTTTACCGAGCGCTAATTATAATATTTATTAATTTGATATTGAATGTAAAAAGTGTGTTACGCCAAAGTATTGCACATTATTTGCGCAAGGACTGTTCATTTATACTAAAGTAAAATCAAATTGATAGGTAGTCAATTCAAAATGCTTCCTTATCATTCGATTATTTGCATTCGTTAGTACGTTGTACTGGCGTTCAATGTAAATAATTCTAATTACGCCGGGCATTTTTTCAATCCGAACTCTCGTGAACTCGATCGAAGTCGACTGGATTTTTATCAAATTCATCGTGAATAATGAAAAGACAACGGCAAAAAGCAAAGCGAGTGACGTGGGTAAGAAAATAATTAATCACGATTCTAAAAATCTATGAAAACATTGCGTTACAAATATAAGGATACTATCGCTTTTTACATTTTTTTCCCCCTTTTTTTTCGCAAAGAACGTCCAGAGTCGTCCCGCGCTAAGAGCACTGATTTCGCAAAAGTTTACACAACGTAAAATCGTTACTATGGATTCCACTTGCAGCCGTAACATTTCATTTCACTCCCGTTTTATCATCACGAATACTACCACATAGCTAACGCTATTATGTTCGTGCCCTTTTTCGTCTTTTGTCACCGTTCGATTGCACATTTTTTTTTGTTTTCGTTTTTTGCTTTTTTTTTTCTTTATTCGATTCCATTCTGAAAAACTTCACCTCTACGCTCATCGTCTCAAAACATACCAATCTTTTATCACATTTACTTGCAAATATAGTTATTTCGCACTCTTAATTACTCGATGCAATCCCCCGAATTTTCATAAACTAATGTCCCGTTTAAAAGAGCTACAAGATTATTTATTATTCCTTCTTTTATTTTGTTTCTTTATTTTTTGTTCGTTCGTTCGTTCGTTCGTTCGTTCGTTCGTTCGTTCGTTCGTTTATATTTTATTTTTACTATGAAAAATAAGTCCGAGATGTATTAAGCAAACGATGTATATGAAAATAATCAAGAGCTGTGAACAATTCGCTTAATAATATTAATGAAATATCAATTATTATTAATAGTGAAATTAAGTTACACAGTACACCTCCCCATGCGTATATAATAGACTAAAAGTCATTCGTCCTCTTAACGTTTATACCCTCGCTTATTGCAAATATTCAAAATCACAGCCTTTATTCATTTGTTCACATAATCGTCGACATTGCGTGACGAAAGCGCTTAGAAATCAATGACATACGCGGAAAATAATATTATTGCTAATTGAAAAATACCGGAAGATCTTTCGAAATCCGACGACAGCGAATCTCGTCGACGCCGAGGGCGGCTCACAGAGGGGATCGAATAAAAATTCCTATCGAGCCATAAAGAAATACGTAATAAGCCCGCTTCGTTCCTGGCAAAAGCTCTACTCCATCAGACAACTGTCGACCGCGTGGAATCCATCATTCGCAAAGCACACCCTTGCCAATTAAGCGCTACAGACGCTCGTGAATAAAATATCCTGCCAACTTCCGGAGACTTTATCACACGCTCGTGTCATCACTAACGTCACCCGCCAACCCACTACCCATCATCTCCAAGGAGTCACTCCGACAATTGGCACTTCGTATCGCCGTTAAACGATCATCGGCACTCGTCGCTCGCCGGTGAACGCTTCTCCAGCATCGTGCCCCGTCGACTCGACTCCCAAACCACCAAGGGAGCAGCGTTCGTCTCACCCTCTCCCCTACCCCCTCCCCGCCCACGTTATGCACACGTTCCCACATAAATACGTGAAAGCAAGCGTGCGTACCAGACGCGTACGATAAGTGTGTGCATGTCCACTTGCGTCGATCGAACACTCGTTTCTGAGGGGCCCCATGCGAGGCAAATAGCGGCCAGGTCCCCCAGAGATGATGGGATCGCGTGCGCCCACCCGGTTGATTGCCTCGTGCCACTTGCCGGCCATTGGTCCATTGCCGTTTGCCGCATGCATACGGACGCGCGGGGGGGGGGGGGGGGAAGGGGCACGCGGTGCCTCGCTCTTGTCCGCTCGCTCGATCGCGGCAGCTCTTACGCCGAGAAAGCCGTCTACTTGCGAAACGCAGCCGGAAAATCTCAGCTGCCAATTTGCGGCACATCTCGGGCGGAAAGCGGCCGGGACAATGGAGGACCTCGGTAGCCCGCGGGGAAATTGCTCCCCGGGGCACGAAGCCGATAATACGGCAGACGCCATTCCGTAACCAGATAATTCTGTTTTGGCAAGTGGATGCGGTGAAAAGTCGAAAGTTGTCTCGATGAACGGCTAATCTGCGCGGAGATTGCGCGATATTTATTCTCCCCTCCAAAATCTAATCCAACCAAGTCGGCCAACCCCGCCCCGGTACTTACGCGCTTTTTATTTTATATTACAAACGACACTGGCAATTTCTTTGGCGGCTAATAATTTGCCAATCTTAATTGCGACTTTAAGCAGTGGAGCCTAGTTTCGCTAGACGCTCTATTGGCTAATAATATATCTTCCCAATTGATTTTAGCGCTTTTGCTTATTGAGGCCTGATCGGACGAGTCACAATTACATTGATCGCCGATATTTCGTATTGGGCATAAAATATATATATCGTGCAGAAAAAATATAAATCGATTGCTTCTTAGCTCGATCTTTAATGTAACGATTTTAGTATTAGTGAGACAGTATTTACGTGGCGGTTATATGACATTTTGGTGAATTGTGTGAAAAAGTTTGGACTTCCTTTTCGATTTTGATATAAATGCGCGTTCGCGTGCGAGATCGAAAAATGCCTTTTGAAGAAATTTTAGATAAGATTTCTTATTAATTAATTCTTGACAATGATCAATCGAATTCTACGGCTCGTTCAAACATAATTATTATGGAATTTAACGCAGTAGCTCGATTGCATAAATCATCGTTATGATCGTGTGTGATCGTAATTACAATTCCAATAATTGAATATATTTCACATTATTTTCTTTTTTTTTTCGATTTCTATTCCACTAGGAAACAGTCAAATAGAAAGCAAATTTAACGAATAGAATTATAAGCATAAAATTTTGATTGACTATCAACTATTATGAATTGTAATAATACTATTTGAATTGCATTTATATGGAATAAAGACGAACTGATACAAATTATTATAATATTAGGTAATATATCACGTAATGTAATATTATTAAATTTCATTGATACTACTGAAATATATTTACATATCTGCAATTTTAAATAAAAATATTCCACCTCATATGTACATTTCGTTCTAAATCACATATATAAAATATGCGTCATACTTTGTAAAAAATAATTTCTTGAAAAAAGAAAAAAAACTTGCTCTAAAAAAGATTTTTCTTTGTTTTAAAATATTGCATTTTAAAATAGTAAATAAACAAATATTATCCCTTGATTTGAAATTTTTTTCTTTTAATTTACCAGAGAAACAGGTGAGTTCAATATTGTTTTTTCACTTCTAATTTCATAAATTATATGTCCCTCTTTACCTCGTCAAGATGAATATAAATTTGATCTTCGTCAAAGCATCTTTGAAAATCAGGGAAACTTATTATCGATGCCAATTTATTGGCATTATTGGCATAATTTTGATAAATTATCAAAATTATATATCCAAAGGTAATTTGTAAATTTACCGAGTATTTTGCATGTGGGTATGTTTGTTGTACCACTAGTTTGCAAAATTGCCATAACGTAAGGTAGAATGTGATTTTGATCGTTTCAACATTGAGTTATTTACTCATTATATTATAAAGGATGTGCAATTAATGAAGAACTAGAAATAATTTAGTAACAGAAAGCACTATACGTTAAACAATTTTTCAATAGCCTCTTTACATTTCTTATAAGTTGTTCGATACTCTTTAAATCAAATATAGAATAAAAATATTAGCATTCTTTCGATTTCTTTCATTACACGCGCATCCATCTACATATATCTGCGACAATTAAGAGAAATACATTTAATATAGCATTAATATGCTTTAGCATCTTAAATTAATTAGAAATAAATTAACTTTTTCATAGAATAGTCTATTTCATAGAATATTTAATAGCTATATCGTTTATTAAATTATTCATTTATTCACGAACATTAGTAACATCAGTAACATTTTATTCTTTATTCTAGATTTACTAATTCTTAAAAGGCGAATTTTTTTTTTTTTTTTTTAATTAGCTCGGTCTGAAGTTTGTTGTCTTTTCTCTCTCTTTTAATCGCTCGCGCGACCTCTGCCTCCTATTATAAAGCAGCAGCACTGGCTTCTCATATCGGAAAATTCTGAATTTTATCCATTAATGTTTAAGAATCGTAAATTTGCGTGCGATGACGGGCCATAGAGTTTTGTGGGGTTCGAATCAGGCGCAGACTCGAATTTGTATATAAGATATTACTTTCTCTTTTGGCGGAACGCAACATGGGCCGTCGGGAGGGATTGCCGCGAATGCGCGCCGACGAAAGGAAAAGTGCACGAAGCAGAATGTAAATGATGAAATGACCTGGAGTGGCGCAAATAATGCATCAAATTGCGCGACATGACAAGTCGGTGCACCGCTCGATTGGCGGCACCGGGACGAAAAACGAAAAGCCGGAGCCGCGAAAGCCGAGTTAACTCGCTCGTAAATGGGGACTATCGTTATAATTAGCCGATTATGGCTGCTCTCCCAATATAGCTCATGATCTGTAATAAAGTACGTGAAATGGGCATTACCTAATCGGTTAATCGGTAAACTTGCTACGTTGTATTAGCCATGCGCACCGAGTGCGAGAGTTCAATGAGAAAAGACTTGTCGCGTAAGTTGTTCACCGTCACGTTTATCTGTGTCTTTTTTTTTTTTTTTTTTTTTTTTTTTTTGTTCGTGTTGGGGGCAATTCTATTGGTATACAAAGTTTCAATTTGTTGCAATTGATATTGGGTGGATGCGAAAGGGGCGCGATAAGAAATTGAGAGAGCTGAATTGAATTGTGCCCGATTAATGAAACGCCTAGACAAATTGTAAAATTTTAAAAAAAGCTCATTTTCTCTTTCGTTCATCACGATAGTTGAGTTTCATTAAAATTACAATTGGAACGCTTTCCGTATAACTTTTTATTTTTCTTTGTTGTCACTTTGTCGATTGCCCAACTTGTTGCACATAAATTATTCCAATAGCACTTTCGACTATTAATATTATTTGTCATTCTCCATAAATTAGAGAACCAGCTAGAATATGATTTTACTCAATTAATAATTTAATTATAGAGCAAGATTTTTGTAAAAAAAAATTGTCTCGTTGAATAATATCATTATGTACCTGTGTGTATATATTTATTTATAAATACAGACGCGTATTTCTGCCGGCTGTCCATAAAATTCGCATCTTTCTCTACTATTGAAATCTATATAGAAATTATGAAAATAATAATAATATTTCATAAATGCATTAATAATTTTTTTATTACAAATTTCCTCCATTTTCAGTAAAAAAAAAAGAATGGGGGGGGGAGGGGAATATTTGATAATGTGTATGAGTAACATAATAAATGGCTTAAAGTATTGCAAAATTGCACCATTAAGTAAGATTAAAAATTTAATTTTAATTCCAATGCTACGAATTAATTTTCAATTGGCTATATTATTTTTTCTAAAGCGATATTAAAATTATATGGGCGATAAACGCATTATAATGTGTATGGTAAGTTGTTTCCTTAAAAAATTAAATACACGTATTTTATTAGATAAAATATAGAGATATAAATATACTTTTATGATAAACATTGTTGAATTTAATAAAAATTTTATTCAGGCAAAGATATGTCAACACTTTCGAAACATTAAAAGTCATAACGAGGGAAGATTTTTTCTGTAATCCAATGCTATTACTGGTTATAATAATACTACTGCACGCTATAAATTTTTATCATTGCCTAACTTCAATATAAATAAGCAAAATATGCCAAAAATTTCAATACTTACAAATTATATAATGAGTATAAAGGGATACAGTTGAGAGGAGTGTTCTACAGACATTTATACCTATTTTTATGTGGTTTAATATTTTAATATATAATTATACATATATATATATATATATATATATATATATATATATATATATATATATATATGCATATATGATTTCAATCGCATAGAATATAATTATGTGAAAAAAATATTAAAATTTAAAAGAAAATATTATGCTTCATTAGTAATAATGTAAAGATTAAATTTTTTTTCATTTTTTGTATAGAAAATGACGGTCGTATGAATAATCGCACACACATTGTCTGATAATGAAAAACTAATTAACTAGCTGTCGTCGGCTATTTTATGTTCACTATTACCTATCATGCATATATATATATATAAATAGTAAATGTGTCTAATTAAATAATGAATCATTTCCATAATTCACGTCATTGTGCTCTCAGTGCTTTTCTTTTTTGCACATAGTCGATGCAATAGTCCATGTGCATTAGATCACACGTAGATGAAAATGAAATCTTCAGTAGTCATAAAGCTTAAAGCATAATAAATGAAACCAACGAGTACTCGTCCATCAGGTTGCCCTTCGATTATTATTATTCAACTGCGAAACGAGTGTTCGGCACGTGCCCCATGACCAACAAATGCTTGGAACTTGAATGCGAGAGAACCTCGACGAATGTCGGCGAATCTTTAAGCCCAGATGAGCTCGCTCAACCTTAAAGGTCAATCGCTCAAAAATAGCACGACGCGGTCGCGTTTGCTCCTTACGTCATTGATCCTTCGTCAGCGGAGGTCGTCGACTTGCTGTAGCCAGGATCCAAATATCCTCATCCGTTCCGCGAGACTCCCAAGTGACTCGGACGCGAGCTCGGCGCGACCCCGGCGCCGATCACAATTGGAGGTGGGGGCATCTGCCGCGGCCGTGGCCTTGAACTTTACGGAATAGGAGTCCGGCCCACAGCGCGGCTTTGAATCTCGACGATATAAATGTGGGCCTGCGCGACGACGCTCGCACAGTCAGACGGACTTTTTCACCCGGTTGTCACCCGCTAGACATGGCTCGACAGCTCTTCCTTCTCGTCCTCCTCGGCGCCGTCACGCTCCTTCACGCGGAAGTCCGTAAGTACCCGGCTGCTCGTATCCGAGGGACTGCGCCGTTGCTCAGGGCACGGAGATCACCTTAAAATCTATCGACGCGCTTCTGCGGGAGAAAATTTTACTACATGCTAGAGAGGCATTAGCTCCCGAGATCCGCCTATACTTTGACTCCGTGTGCTGCTTTTATAAGGACTGGGAATTTATGGTTGATAAGGGAGTTAAATCTGCTCGATTGAAGGTAGTCTGCAGAAATTAAATTTCTAGCTTTCGTTAGTGAACGTTTCGTATTGTAACTTTTGTACGAGTCAATGTAAATTATCATTAAGCAGCTTCAGCCTAAGATTCATCTAATTTATTTCAATTTTAGTTCTCACATTTGCTCAAAAGTATGTGTCTCTAGGATTAAGAATAAATGAAAAATCAAATGTCGAAAGCTTATATGAATAAAAGTTCTTTGACGGGCTACAATCATAATAACTTAATGCTACATCGCTAATCAACGATGAATGTTGTATAATTATTGTCCGAAATGGTAGTTGATGCAGTACATCCTACAAACATGGGACGGTAGAGAAAATTGCATTAAATTATCAAATTTTTGTCGTTTATTTATTTATTATTTTATTTTACGCACTTTGCACCAAAATGAAGTTTGGAGCAGTAAAAAGTGATATAAAAGTTCTAATTAAAATTCTAATTTAACAACCAATCAATATGTTGGATTTATTACTCCTTCGTCCATAAAAGACTTTCAATTTATATTATGCGCATAAAAAAAAAGTCTTGACATTTTTTTCAATTTCAAGATCCACTTATCTAATGAAAACATTGTTTATTATTACAGTTTTAACCTTTACTATTTTAACCTTACGCATTTGTTAATTTTTTTTTTCTTTCAATTTATCATATGCACAGCCAAGAAAGTGACATACGAATGCGGCTTGCTCTATTCCATAAATATTAGAAAACAATTGAACTTGATTATTTCTTTGTACCAAGAGGTCGTCTAAAATATGAATGTTTATAATAAAAGATTAAATAGTCTATTAAGGAGCAGGTAGCACCGATTGTTCATGCGTATGAAATTTCAACTCAAACAACATAATTGTGAAGACAAAGACATAATTATGATTATAAATTGCTATTATAATATTGAAAGGTGCCTATTTGATGAAGTAATGCTTTTTTTTCTTTTCAATCACTCAATATATTCATATTAAAATGGAAATCTTCGTTAGAAAATTTACTTAATTAGCCTACTTCCGAAATCTATTCAATATTACCTTCCATCAATCTATTTTTTCTACTTTTCATTTAGCTTCTCGTTTTCCTTCAGAAAATAATTGCATTCAAATCAATGCTACTTACAGGAATTTATATATATATATATAAAGAAAAAGAATAAGCATTATATAAATTGAAATTTCGTTAACTTTTTAGATTAATATGAGTATCTTTAGATTCCACAAAGAGATAAAAATGAAAATTTGAGTAATTCGCTTATTGACAAAATCAAAATCTAAATTATATTTATCAAACTTTACAATATTATAAATGTAACTATTTGTATGTAGCGGTACTTTTGAGAATTTCATGGGAAGCTTTTTTCATTGTTGGTAACGATAAGTTGGCACGAAAAACTGATTGAAAATAATATTATTAAATCATCTTAATTCATTGCTTAAGTGAATTCCTTAACTTCCTTTTCTCTATTCTACGAAAACAAAAATTGGACCTCTTTGTATGAACTTTAATAAAATTATAAATACAATTTTCTTCCTTTTAAGTATCTTAAGCATGAATAGAAATTTTACATTATCGTTATCCTTGACAATTCTGCACATCGTAAGTGAACATTTTCTATTTAAATACATTTTTTTTTTTTTTTTTTTTTTTTTTTTTTTTTTTTTTTTTTTATATATATGTAATTACTGAATATTCGAAGTTTTATGCAAAACAGTATCTAAAAGAATATTCGCAATAAACATTTTGCGAACAATTATATTTACTTTAAAATATACATAATTAACCTAAATATTACACAAAACATTGTATACCTTTATAAAATATATAAAAATAAAAATAAAAACATATATACAAATGATATAAATGAAAAGAAATACCACTTAACTAACATTAAACCGTAGTTTAAAGATAAATGGAAGGCAAATTTTGCCTTAATTTTGCCTTAATTTTGCCTTAATTTTGCCTTAATTTTGGAACGGGAATGCGAAATAGTGGCTATAAAGTCACGATCTTAGGATGAATAAATGGATGATAAACGAGAGATTAAGAAACTCGGTGGGATTTCGAAAATGTAGTAACTCTAAGCGATTAGTACCAGATCTCGAGCCTTAAAACATAATCACATTATAATCAGTGTCATTTACGCTAAATTGCCTCTTCGCTCGGATTACAGCATCATTCATCAGAGTCTGCGGCCGCCAGAATCCTCAGCTCGACAAATGCATCCAGGAGAGTATCATGAGACTCATGCCCAAGCTCAAAGAAGGCATACCCAACCTGGACGTGCCGTCCCTGGAGCCGCTCTTCGTTGACAGCATAGCCATTGCCAACATTAACGATTTCCAGGCGCTCGCGACCAATGTTAAGTTGGGCGGACTGTCGAGCTTCCACATCAAGCATATGCACGTTGATCTGAAGGACCAGAGGATCGACGTTGAAATTATCTTCCCGAAAATTTCAATGGACTCGGACTATAACGTCAAGGCTAAAATCATCGTGCCGATCAACGAGAAGGGCCCGATCAAATGTACAACAAGTAAGACCGACAAATACTTTAAATATTTATAACCAAAACATCATCTCCCAACAAATCCTCCGACTACTTTTTATACTCTAAATACTCCATCCAAATGATTCTTTAAATTTACGAAATTTAGACTTTATTACAATAGACTTTATTATTCTGAGAAATTACATTATTACTTTTTAATTTAGATTTTAATACAGATGATAAGTTAATGTCACATTGCTCGGAAGTTGTAAAACTTAGTTAAAACTGCAATGCATTAAATATTTATATATTTGTAACCGTCATTTACATAAATAAAAGATTGGATCGTCTACAAACTTCCTTGTTTTTCTCTAGCATTGTAACATTGTATTAAAGAATAATCAATATTTTTATTTAATCGAGAATATACATACATTAAATGACCAACGAGTGGCGGTGCGGGGGAGGGGGAGGAGGAGTAGGAGAGAATTAAAGTAATTTAAAAGTTTGTTCGATTAAGTTAAGCTACGATCAAATTACATTCACAACAAGACTAATTATAAACTTATTTAATATCTCTATGAGATAAAGCTATATCCGTTAATAGGTGAAACCACAATTGGTTTTTAACTTATTAGTGCTTTAAATGCTTTTACCACCGTATAAGGAAATCTTGACAATTCTCATCCGATCTTTCGCAATCTTCTAAAAGGAGCCAATTAATCCACACACCGAAAACCATATTTAAACTCTTTCAGATATATTAGAAACATGAAGGAATATAATTCATAAGATAGCCCTACTCATTAAATATTTTACTTCACCTAAGGATCGTTAATTTTTGCAAATTATGCATTAAAATAATAGGCATTACTTATTATCCAAGAACTTCAAAATCGTAAAAATAATTTCTACTTCCTTGTTAATGTGCTGTAATTGAGCTGCCATCTGTTGACTCAGCTTAGTACCAATGAGATTCCTCCTCCTAACTTCCTACTCGAGTTACCGACAATAATAATCTTGTACATTGTTTTCCCAAATAACTCGACTTAATTAATTTCAATATACCGTTAATCAATCTGAGAACATTGCAAATACTAAATTAAAGTAGTTTTGGAATTTCGAAAATTTTCGGAATAATATTTGCAATCGGGCTTAACGCTTCATTACTTCTTGATAAAATATCTCTTATTATTTACAACTAGTTAATTATCATTGAAATTCATTAACTATTCTATAAGCACTCTACTTTCCAATACAAATTCATTCAATATCAAATTTTTCAATTTATATTTTACATAACATTATCAATGCACGTGTATTTCTATCGATTATAAAATTATTTCAACAGTTATTAAACATTGTTGTAATGAGACTCGATTTGCTATTTATCTTTAGACTTAATTAATTTTGAAACTTTAAACTTATCCTTAATAATTGAATTCATTGTCATTAATCAATGTAATTATTACTAATACCATGGAAAAAAAAGCTAAAAATAGACGGGAATGTGGATGAATTGAATGAATTCTTGAAACTTTTCGAGTATAAAATCGCTTTCCTGATTACTTTGCATTTTATGTCTTTTCACGTTCATCCTCTAAATCCATCAGCGGTTCTTTCATAAGCTAAGTAAATATTCTTCTCCGTCGGTAATTTCCATCTGTAATTATTGGATAATCGGGAAGATTAGGAAATTCTGGTACATTTGCTCGTGTCTTGACATTTGTTCGACAACATCATTTACGCACCTACTCAAACATAATAAAGACATTGATCGAGCAGATGAATGTTTTCGTTTAACAATTATTTATTACCTGCAATGAGATGGACACGTTGTTCTCTCTCTCTCTCTCTCTCTCTCTCTCTCACACACACACGCACGCACACACACACACACTCTATATATATCTATCTATCTATCTATCTATCTATCCGTATGTCTGTCTGTCTGTCTGTCTCATTCGCGGCTATTAGATATGAATGTATTATTAGGGAGGGAAGCCGTCGAAAAAAGCAAAAACATATCGTTGAACTTTACCTACAAAAATAAAATAACAACTCATTAGAGCTCTTTTAATTTGCAGATGACGTCAACGCGAAGGTCTCGATAAAATTCCAGATAACCGAGCGTCGAGGACAACGACTCATTTACTTTCCATCAATGACGACGAAGCTCATGATAACAGATTACATTGCCGATTTCGAGTCGAACGACGGTGGAAAAACTAATCCGGTGACCGAGGCGATCAATTCCATATTGGTAAGCAGCAAGGAGGAAATAATCACGAGTATGACACCGAATTTGGAAAAGGCGATATCGGAGAAGGTTCTCAACGTGGCCAACCGCATTTGCAAGCACTTTACTTATGACGAACTCTTTCC